AGTTCATATCACAATACAGTCATCAAAATGCAATACAATTAATATTCGGGGGGGGGGAGTAGTATAGAGAACATATATATATATATATTTGTAATCCAATACAACAAATTACACCTCAGATCATTGTTTAATACAATGATCTGATACTACAATAGTTTCCCTGGTTACTGTTCTTCCACATTACACTATTCAGTCTTTATCCTTTCTGAATTTCTAAATTAGAGAGTTGTATAAAACTAAGATTAAAAATACTATTCTCAAATAGTCACATCTTGATTTTTTCTATTGAGTGAAAATGGAAGACTGTAGCCGAAATTATCCTCCTCCTATAGCTGCAGGATGCAACAGTCATTATCTTTCTGCCAATTATGCATATGGGAGGTATTTTGAAGCCCCCGGAGAAAATTACTTTGTTACGTTGCGAAACCAATCATTTCAAGTTAGTAGCATTTTAAGTTTTATTCATTCTAGATCACTTTGCTTCTTGAGTTACCTTTTTTTATTTTTTTATTTATTTATTTTTTTTTATTTATTTTTTTTTATTATTATTTTTCCTCCTCCCTACATTAGTTGCATCCCATGCGGTCATAATCAGGGCAATAGATCATTCACAAACCTGTGGAATAGGTGTCATCGATGTTTAAAGAAAGCACAGCCTCTTGTCTGCATTTCAAGCATCAATTCAATTTTCTGTTTCATAATCCCTGTGTAATTTCAGGTAGAATAAAGAGATATTTTATTATATCCATGAAACAGTCAATGGAACTTGTTAACACTTGCATTGTCATATTATGATGACTATGTAAGTTTTTAGAAAAAAATTAAATATTACTTTACTTTCAATAAAATAAATAACAATTCTGTTTATTCTCTCTTAACTTGCACAAATTTCAGGAAAAGTAAACAAATGTAATATTTTTCCTGGAAAAAAGTTCAGATGAATAAGGGCTAAACTAACACCAACATTATTTGCTGCCCTCAGATTCCCCCAGGAGTGTGGGGAACTCACAGGCCTCCAGCAACTGTTTGTCCAGATGCAGATGAAGTTAACAAGATCCTTGCTCAAAGTAACCTGCGATATCCAGATTTATCCCTTTCTCCTATTGTTGTAGATAAACCAAGACGACAAGGAGTGGATGATTTCTACTATGTAAGAGAGTAAATGCCAATCTAAAAATTTAAAACAGTTATGATTCCACTATCGATATGCACATGGGGGGAGGAAGCAGCTAGGCTATGGTGTCCCTAAAAATTTTCAAAACGACCTATTGCCTCATTCTATAAGAATATTTATTTGTTAATACATTCATTCAAAAATAAAATTTACTTATAAATAAACTTTCAAATTTACAGTGACAATGACAAATAGACAAACCCATCTTAGTGTCTCAGTATACTATATATTATTTTGTCTAGAAATATATGGTTTATAAATTTTTGCATTTTTGCTACTTGTAAAAGTTAACATTTGTTATACTGTAGGCATTTGCAAAGTAATGATGTATAAAATGTTTACAATAATTGAAAATATATTTTCATTGATTCACTGAATCTTAGATTATGATGGAAATATTAAAAACTGATCTATAGTATATTCTAGAATACAATTAAATTGACATAATAGATTCTCATCCATGGATCTTCCACAGCAATATGTGCACTCAGAAATTTTCACCCCAATGCCTCCTTCTATCCTTCACATAAAAATTGTCTCTAATTGTGTTGTTAGGTGCAGTCAGCATCGCCAATTAATTCTGACTTTAATTATCATTAATTTTAATATATAACACAAAATTAATACAATTACTTGTTTTCTCTGTTGTATTTTTCCTTCTTGTAAATGGTAGGGGGGAGGGGTTGCAAGTGTTACATAATTATTTAGGGTGGTTCCAACGTGCATTACGGGGGAAGAGAGTATATTCAAACTGTTTCAAGATTATGTTCCATAATTTAAGGACAGCACCTTACAAAGGAAAAAAAATAAAATAAATTAATATCATTTTTATTAATTATATTAATAATAAAGTGTCCGATTTTGAAGTCTGTTCAAACCAATAGGAAAATATTTCCAGGTACATGCTAAGAAGTACAGAAAAGGGTCTCATTAACACCAAAAAAGTTTTGAAGCAATTACAATTACTGATTATTTGATTGGCCTAACATTAGTATCTTCCACTTCAGGCTTGCCAGCTCTTTAGAGATCAATATAAAGACAATACTGGGAAGTTGCATCCTCTGGATTACTTCCAAGATTCAGAAATTATTTGGCAGTGTCCTCCTAACATGACCACGTAAGTATTATTAGAAAAATAACTTCATTACAACTAAAAGTTCCACAGTGAAAGACCATGCAGTAACCTGGAATAATGCAATAAAATTGCATGTATAAAATTTTTGAATTTGTAATGGTTTTAACTAGAAAACTGAGAAGCTCTGAGTTTTGAAAAAAGACCGTATTCACCCGAATATAAGAGGACATTATAATTTTGAAGAGGCCTCCTGAGAATTATAAATTTTTTTAACTAATTCTTGCTATTTAGTCAATATAAAATTACAAAATGCCACATTGAGTAGAAAATTACCTTGTTGATGAGAATGTTAAGAGTTATTGCTGAACAATTTTCTTGTTCCTTAATATCATAATCATAGTTTACATGATATTGTCATATCCACATGCATCAATATTTCTTTCTTTCTGGTCCTCCTTCCAAGCTGTGACATTTTCAAACGTTTTAGGCCAGTCTTGAAAGTTTTCTGACTAAATTTTGCCTTGTTCATAGTCTTTCATCAGACGCCATCTACGAATATTCCCTTTTGTCGCCAGATTTTCTATCCGCCCCGGTCTTGTTGATGGCCTGTTTCTGTTCAAATAGCAGATTCGTACCGAATTCATTTGTTTCATTTGATACTATGTCATTCGGTTAGAAATTCTCTTTGCTGGCCCATTCTATAGGTCTGAATTGCCCCACAAATTCTCTCCACCATCTCGGTGGATGCCGAGAATACGAACGGGAATAGAATTATGAGTTGTTACGCGCGATATTTTTACCGTCTTCACAGTTAATTGTTACGTCAACATTTCCGAGTTTCGTGACAAGGAATGGCAATGTAAAAACTTAAATCCTAACCGACTAGGCTCAATCTGCGAATATAAGACGACCCCACATTTTTCGACAGTTAGCTCGGAAAAAACGGCGTCATATATCCCTCGTAAATACGGTATATTTTGTGTTGGGAAGTGCATTATCCTCTTACCCTTATAAATGCTTTCATTGCATTCATCAACTAGTTTCCTGAATTCAACAAATTCGTTGATTCTTTCATAAAATTCCTTCTTATACTTATCTTTTTATTTATTTCCATTACATTTTTTGTAATTATTTGTAAGCTAAGTGAAATTGTTTCTGTATTTACTAAGAAGAAAAATTAGATTTTTTTTTCTTCAGGAAATGCAAAAATTTCCAGATAATTTCTTTACTGTTTTACATGGTTTCTTAGTTCATTTTTGAGGGATAAAGAGGATGATATTTAAAAAGTCTTTAAAACAAACTTATCCCGAATCAATTCAGATAACAAAACTAGAATGAGATAATGCATAACATTGATAAGAAATATCATGTGTTTATACGAATGAGTATGTGTGCAAGCCTCTACATGAGCATGGATAAGTGCTAGTGATTGTGCATGGTTAATATGCACAACCCAAAGAAAGCATAAAAACTATCTAAAGATGGACTTTCTAAAACATTTTGATAATTTTATTGGGACATTTTTTTGAGTTACCAGCAATAAATTTGTGTCACAGCCATTGTAAGTTTTTTCTCTCTTGTTTTGTTGTTTTTTTTTAAGAAGAAAACAACATATTAATTTAAAATTATGTTTTAAAAAAATATTCCTAAATATAAAAAACAATTATCATAGCCATTGTAATTTTGTTCTCTCTCTTACTTAAAAAAATATTAATTTAAAGTTATGTTTAAAAAAATATTGCACTGAACGTAGTGAACTTCTGAATTAAAATACATGTTTCAAAAGTCACTTCACCTATTGAAGCTACTAAATTTAACTTACAAGTAGGGTATAACTAGACCAATGCTTAAATGCACTTCAAAGATGTGAATGTTGGTTACAGAGCCTACATAAAACAGCCAGTTTGTTACCCTCGCTACCTGAAACCACCAGTACTTGCAAGATCACTACCCCATTCTGAAGAGTGGCCATCGTTGGCAACACAGTCTCTTGCTGGCAAAGCCTATCGTCATCATGATACAGTCTATTTG